ATGTATTAGGTAGAGCTGCTATGTCTCCTGGAATTTGTAGAGTGCCTTTGTGTAGTAGGTGTCCTGTAGGGTCCAGTGGCTCAGCCTCCCCAGTCACCTGAGCTGGGCCTTCTAGGTGCTCCCCTGTGTGGGCTGTGTGCACTGTCCTGTTGTAGTTGAGCCTTGGTTGCTGTTGGTGTCACTGGGTGGAATTGACCCCCCGATCAATCAGCTGTGAGGACCAGCTGCAGCTACAGCCAAGGAGCTGTTGTGCTGGAGACACCCCTATGGAGCAGGATTTACTTCAGTGGGGCTTTGGTGTTCACCAAGTGCGCCCCTTGAGTGTGTTACTCGTGGATGTGGTAGGGTTGTCTCTGGGGCCTCCTGTGAGGTACAAAGTCAGCCTCTGCAAGTGCCTTGCCCAAGGCCACCCAGCATGAGCTACACAGCAAACCGTAGTTGTCTGCTACTTGTGCTGGGCCTGGAGGTGTCCAGGAGAAGCGAAGCCATGAACCAGTGCAGGCTGCCTCTAGTGCCAGTCCTGGGGCCGCTTATCAAGCTATATGGGGCCCGCTGCTGCTTGTTTGATTTTAGGAAAGTCCTAAGCATGAGGCTCAAGCCACCACTTGCACAGAAAAGCCACTGGAAATGGCCCGGATGANACGCTGCTGGTTTGATTTTAGGGAAGTCCTAAGCATGAGGCTCGAGCCACCACTTGCACAGAAAAGCCACTGGAAATGGCCCGGATGAGCTGCAGGTGGGGAGGAGCAGCGCCTCCGGGAATCAGCTGGGAGGGGCCAAAGGTGTGAGCCAAGTGCTGGTGATTCAAATATGGCGCCTGCCTGCTGACTGTGTGGGGGGAGGGCTCGCCAAAGGAGCAATGGCCTCTGCCAGCTCTTCTGTCTGTGAGAAAGCTGCCCCTCCACCTCTCGCCCCAATTTCAGGCAGGTTAGTTCCTCCCCAAGTGTCCCAGGTCCTTTCCGGCTGCTGCTCGGCGCTGGGCTCAGAGGGAGCGTCTGAGTGGTTCCGTGTGCGGGCCCTTTAGGAGGAGCTGCTGGCGCTCCCGCAGCCTCCCCGACCCTCAGCTACAGTCCCGCTGGGTTTCACAGCCCGAATTTGTGGGGACTTCTCTTCCCGGCCCTGGAGCCCTGGGCTGGGGGCCTGATGTGGGGCTGGGAC